CCATCGTGATACTCGTCTTTAAAAAAAGCAAAAGAACAATACATATATCCATTTGCGTGTGTCTGTTGGCTTGTGAACCCTTCCCTATGTTCCGACTTCGCATGACTCTTCAACAGAGAAATATTGGAATGCATTTTTTAGGGTTTTGGATTCGTCACGTTCGCAACGAGTGAGGAGGCCGATCGCGCCCGAGAAAACCTCAATGGAACTGTAGTGGAAGGAAGAAAAATCGAAGTGAGCGATTCGTACTGTTGTTTCTTATTTGCCCTCTGTCAAAACTGAAACGCCATTTAAATTTTCCGAATATAATTTGCCTACTGAAATCAGTTATCAGTAACAAATAATGAAACACGTTTGTTACACTTGATGTTTCAATGCTTATTTGGCGTGCGCCGACACATGAGGCTACTTCACTTCTGCCTGAGGATCATGTGTTCGGATAACACAACAGCCACCTGACTTTTCCATTCCATGTGCCACCTGTCGACCATTCCATAGAATACATTTCAACTATTTAAATTTATTGCATAGTTTTATATCCCGTGAAAGGAATTAAGTTTGTGAGTATTGCTAAGCAATTGGGTCTACTCCCTAGGATTGATTAAATTCATTTTCGGAGCCATTCGTTTGCACACATTTGTAAACGTGGTAATCTCTCTAGCACAGCTCCAGTAGTGATACTCTGATACATCCCGTTTTTTTGTTCGTCAGCAATTGTGGCTACTATCCCCGTTGTTCTCAACCGTTTTAACCGTTGAACTAGAAAGAGGGAAAATATCCTGTCCGTCGTGGATAGCCTGGAGTTGTGAGTTCCCTGGGCACCTGCATACACGCGATCGTACTCAGCTTGTTTGTTCATTAAATCGTCCGAGTGCTGTGAGGGCTCGATAAATGTGTCCGCCTGTTTTGGCGAGGCTTGAAAACTTGTTTTTCTGTCTTCGTTCCTCTTCATCTGGTTTGCATGCATGAGTAGTTGCTAAATAGGGTTTTCATAGAAGTCCTTTTCGATGTAAATCTGATAATGTCTGGAATTACGAAATGATTGGGTATCTGAGGCAAGTCTTCTAGTAGTCGGAAATTAGTTTTAAGCTCATCGTTGTAGTTTTACAATCAATAAACTGAGACTAGGCCATGCTCAGCTCATGTTGTCCCTTGTCCTTCTTATGTCAAATATTCCTCGCCTAATCAGATACTGTCTTTCACTATCAGCACCAAAATGATACATTCCCGTTTTTCTTTTGACTTTTAGATCAACAATGCCACGGCGCGCGTGATGACAAAGAAAAAGTCTGAATCGCCAACTCTTTTGAGAAGTGAGTTATTTCCGAAGTCAAAAATATCGATTGGTTGAGTGGCTCATGGAAAATGTTCCCCAAGTTGAAGCAAGAGAACGAAATAGCGGGTTGGTAATCTGCATGCAGATATTACTCATCGATGTTCCGGATATAATCAGGCAAGCAACGACAAGCAAAGCAGGGGGCAAGGAAAGTCTCGCGAAGCGATCACACCACCGGGAGGTGTGCCTACGTGATTGTCCGATCAAAGCTGTCATTCTGCATGAAGGTCTTTCAGTGGTTCACACACGTCACCCTTAGGCATCAGTTCAATGGAGATTGCGGGAGATTATCGGGATCGATACAGCCCCCACCTCTCCATGCGTAAATACAGGAATAGATTTTTCCCTCTCAGCTCACAGTCACTCGAGAATAGTGCGCATAGCTCATCTAAACAGTGCCTGTCTATCGTCCCAATAAGGTATTCGAACTTCGGATCCACCTCATTGGCAGGGGTGTGTGTCGGTTATCACTATGTCAACCAGTTCACATCCAGTCCGACCAGAATTACGAATTCGGATTTGTCCCAATTGTTGGTCAGGAAGCTCAGAAAATACAAACATTTGGTAACTTGTCAACTCCAAATGCATTCTCTCACCGTATCAGATTATGACACCAGCCTCGGGTTACTGAGCCTATCGAACTTGGAATCAAGTTCCTTTCCGCTCAGAAGATATTTGATTAAAGCGAACAAAAGTCGTTAATCCTCCTAGAATTTTTCCATTATCTTCTCTCCGATAACCAAGATTATCAATTTTTGTGAGAGAAAACAGATGGCAGTCACATGAGAAGCCGAAACACGAAATTTCATCAGATTGTTGTTTAGTTTAACGAAAAATATATGCGGAAAATACAATTTTCACCGAGTCAAAATTGTTGCACCCCCCTGGACGTTTCTTATTCAAATCAGTTCAACACTGGCGGCCACTCGATCGTAAAACGTCTACATACCTTCCAGGTGTACTCTGTATGC